TGGTTAAATTCTGGACTACTCAGAAACACAACCTCGTCTCTCCTCTCATGATAATTTAGTTCCCTTGCCAAGACCCATCCTGGCTGAAGCCACACACAGGTCTGGCGACATCTGCAAGGTTTTTCATAAATCCGCATCAGAAAACCAAGCAGGTGCTCCCTGCCTCAAGTTCTTTGTGATAGGTACTTGAGCACACCTCGTTAGAAAACCCATCGGCTAGAGACAAGTACAGGAAGGACAGCCGGTGACAAGTGATGCATTTTTCATCGGGGCCTCTTCAGGACCAAGGGCCCTCCTGACAGTGTGCTTGCTCCCCCAGCAAGGACAGAATGGGCTCTGAGAACAGCTTTTCAAGGCAGGGCTAGGACTTGGGAAGGGCAGGCAGCACTGGAGGAGGTACAGAGCCTCACTGAGGTTCTGCCCCACTTTCAATCAGTACGAAGTTAATTTCGAATGTGTATAAAGGGAAGGGTAATAAAAGGTCTTAAGAAAAAAGATACTTTAATGAGTCAGCAAAGTAATGAAAAGACAATAATTGCCTTCAGAATTGAGAACAGCAAGACAAAAGGAAGCACTGGAGAGAAATCAGGACATCGTCAAAGTCTGCTCATGACTGGCCATTTGGCTAATGCTGGAAACTCAGAGACAATAGGCCATGATAGCCATCAGCAGTCCCATCCTCAAAAATAAAGCCATCAATGACTGAGTTGCCATCAATGATTGAACCGACCCCACAGGAGACAGCAGTATTCCTCCTGGGGGAAAAGCTCCCCAGGAAATACAAAGGACCCAAACCCAAGAAAAGGACAACAATATACTCAGAGAGAGGTCAAAGTGGAGGTACCCAGAATACAGTACATCTAATCAAGAAGGAAATTGTCTGTATTTTCTAATTTACAATATAATCCCATTTCTAGCCCTTTTAAGCCTGATATTTGTATTCCCACAGAGGCATTACTAAAACTGAAATTAATGGTCATACAAACACCCAATTAATTTGGAATACACATAAATGATAGTCCTAACAAATCTATTTCATTGTTGCCTAATCCAATTCAATTTTGTTTTCCTGTAAGAAAATACATTATAAATTTCAACTAAGGAGGCCAAGAGCACACATTTCCTCTTGGTTTCTTGATTTGTCTTTTAAGCCACAGGGGACACAGGCTAATCGAATGGACTATAACAGAAAAACGAGCACAGGTGTGGGAGGTATGGAAGAGGCAGCCTCCTGCCAGGCTATAGATATTGATATAAGTGGGCACATGAGGTAAACCATGTCTCCAGGCCAGGCTCCAAGGAGGCATCCAGAGATCCTCCCAGGACTAAATCAGACCCAGAACTACCCCAGTGTCTTTAGAGCTCAAGGGTGGAATGTACACCAGGCTTGCACTAGGTGAGGACACTCAGTGCAATAACTTTCCTGCTGTCGATCTGCACCAGCCTTACCCAGCAGGAGGCCCTGCTTTATTTCACCCCATCCCCTGAGGAGCAGAACAGCACAGATTTCTACTGCAGAAAAATCATAACCACTGGAATAATCAAACTGCCCTGTGATCTCCACCAGTCATCATACTGGTAGTGCTGGAAGGGCCACTGGTTCAACTAGCAAGCATTTACTCCTGAAGAATTATGTATTTCTCTACTAGTAAGGGTTTCTATACTGGGAATGGTGGTACACACCGGTAATCCCAGTACTCAGAAGGCTAAAGCAGGAAGACTGGCCACCTGGGCTACATAGCAAGACCCTGTTTCAAGTAGAAATAATAAGAATGATAATGATAATAACACTAATAATAATAATAATAATAAATCCCAACACTTGACAAGCTGAGCCAGGATTGAGAGTTTGAAGCCAGCCTAAGCTACCTAGCAAGTTGTAGGCTACAAAGACAGACCAGGTATCAAAAAAGAATAAAAATAAAAACGTAACCATAATGATAACAATTGGGTCTTTTTACTAATACTATAGTTCCACAACAAGATTTGCTGAGTAACAACAGCACTAAGACAGATTTCCAAAAAGGAATGTGGCTTATACTGACTCAGAATGAAGCAAAAAAGAAAAAAATAAATAAATAGTTGTGCAGACTCAATGTTGAAATTCCAGGAACCTCCATACATTTGAAAATAGAGGTGATGACAGCTCGCTCTACCCCTGCACTTGCCTGGCTCCACCCCTGCGCTCAGCGTGCTACATCCACCACACCTGCACTTATACTCTGGATTTCCTACTGGAGCCAAGAAAAACTGCTTAGCCAGTCTGAAAAGTATTAATTTACAAATACCAATCAGTTCTACCTGGAAAATCTTTCTGTCAAACCTACTGACGAATAAATCTATTTCGCTGACATGGTGACATTTTTGTCAGGTCAAATAACTAAGGTATGAAAAAAAAATCCCCCATGGGAATTCTGAGTAACTTGAATATCTTGTGGAATAAAATTGGGGGTCTGAGAATGTGGTAGGGTGCTTGCCTAGCATGCATAACGCTTTGGGTTCAATTCCTCAGCAGAAAAGGCCAGATGTGGTGCTGTGGCTCAAGTGGTAGAGAGCTAGCCTTGAGCAAAAGCAGCTCAGGGACAGTGCCCAGGCCCCAAGTTCAAACCCCAGGACTGGTAAAAAAAAAAAAAAAAAAAAAAGAAATTGGTGGCAGGGCTCCTCACACACTCAGGGCTCACCATAGAGCAGCTCCAGTCTTCCTCCGCAGAAGGCTTTGTGAGAGCCCATGAAGGCAGTATGCATTTAGAAAACAAAAAATTTACACATACACATGAATGGAGGGAGGAAGGGTGATATCAACGTACACTATGTAAAACTTGAACTACATAGGGCAGGGATAGGAGAGGACAAGAGAGAACCATGGGGGGTGACACTGATTAAGATGCACTGTATTCAAAACCTGATGTATGGCATTGTAACTCTTTGTACAACTTAATAATTTTTTTCAGGGGCTGGGAAGGTGGCTCAGTGGTAGAGCGCTTGCCTTGCATGCATGAGGCCCTGGGTTCGATTCCTCAGCACCACATAAGCAAAAAGAAAAAAGACGGAAGTGGTGCTGTGGCTCAAGTGGTAGAGCGCTAGCCTACAGCTGAAGAGCTGAGGGACAGTGCCCAGGCCCAGAGTTCAGGCCCCACAACCGGACCCAAAAAAATAAAAAATAAATCAAAATAATTTTTTTCAAAAAAGAAAGGAAATAAAAACTGCCCCTTTTAGCAGGGGAAGGGAAATAACAAAATGCTGAAACATGGATACAGGTCGACCCATTATAACAATGAGACGTACAAGATACTATGTTGAAAATGAACTTCACAACTTGGGGGGGTGGGGAGTTGGGGAGGGAAGGTATGGTAGGGAAAAAACAAGAGTGGGTAACAATGCTCCATAAGAAATGTACTTATTACCTTACTCCTGTAACTGTAACCTCTTTGTACAGTATCTTTACAATAAAAACATATACTTAATTGTTTAAAAAAAACCTCCACTTTTAGTCAGGTGTAGTGGCACATACCTATAATCTTAGCACTCAGGAGACTAAGGCAGAAGGATCAAAAATTCAAGGCCAGCCTGACCTTGGTAACTGTTTCAAGAAAAAATTTTTAAAAGTTCCTCGTTTGTATTTTATGCCACTTGAACAGGAAGAGAAACCATCAGAGATGCCAACGCTTAAGTTTGCCCAAGGTTAGGAGCCAGCCACCCCATTCATACCAGCAAGCCCCTCAGACACACCTGTCAGACTGCGAATCCCTGCACTCACTGGACTCAACTATCACATCCCATTAGCATGTATAACATCGACTTCATGACTTATTCATTACCGATGTCCATTTAAAGTGTATCTGCAGAAATGTTCCTGTCATAAAATTTACTATCAAACCTCAGACCTGAACTTGGCCTCAAGGACATCTCAGGACAGAGGTTTTCCTCCAGGAAATCTCTCGTGGGATGAATGTCTGTCCCCAGGACTGCATCTCCTCACCCCCACCACCTGCTCCACCCAGAACCCAGTTCATTCAAGGAGACTCCAGGACACATGGCCAGGAGATATAGCCTTAGTCACTGCCCCATTACTTTAAGGATTTAACGTCTCTTTAAGGACTAAAGCAAAAATAAAGGTGTTTGAATATAATGATAAAATCCTGGCATTCCTGGTGTTTGGTATTACTATCCGTGGTTATTTTGGTTTGGTTTGGTTTTGTGTAGGTCCTGGGGCTTGAACTCAGGGCCTGGGTGCTGTCCCGAGCTTCTTTTGAGTAAGGCCAGTACTCTACCACTTGAGGAACAGCTCTACTTCCAGCTTTTTTGGTAGTTGATTGTAGATAAGAGGCTCACAGACTTTTCTGCCTAGGCTAGCTTCCAACTGCAATCCTCAGATTTCAGCCTCCTGAGTAGCCAGGATTATAGGTGCGAGCCACTGGTGCCTGGCCATTCTTTTTAATCTGAAAATAGCTGTTAATTTTACATATCAACTCAGATGGGCCAAGGACATGAGCCCAGACATTTAGTCATACATTATTCCAGATGTTTCTGTGAAGGTGTTTTTCAGATGAGATGGTAGACTCTGAGTAAGGCTACTGTCATGTACACTGTAGGTGGGTCCAGGCAGGGAAGGCCTAAATAGAACAAGGTCTGGCCGCATGGCAAGAAGAGATTCAGCCAGTAGACTTTGGTCTTGAACTTGTCACTCTTCCCTGAATCTCTAGCCTGCCAGTTTCCAACCAGCCAGCCAACTCAATCATATTTTAGACTCCTCAAGGCCAACAGAATTTCGTTATCAATTCCAAAGTGAATGAATCAAGCTAATTCTGTGAAACACACTTCTGTGAAACTCATACCCTGAGGGTACCACATTGCAAATTATCAACTGAACTTCTTCTATCAAATAGGATAGAAAAGGTAAAATATCCTCAGCCTTTCAAGGAAGCTTGTCTCCCACTCAAGCCCTCTACAGTCTGACTCAGGCCACAGCAAGGCAACCCAGGAGCGAGAGGCAACAGTACCTTTAAACTGCCTAATCATGCGCTGATGGCTTTCGATGGCTTCCTTTAAGATCATCTCTGGCTGGTCCATCTTCCACCGCCATTCAGTGCCCACAGGGTTGGTGTGATGCCTAAGAACAAAAGGCAAAGTTTTCAGGGCTCCTATAATGATGTCTCAGCTACTCACTCCCAACTACCAGGCAGTAGAATGCAGAGAGCTCCTAAGAGCTCAGCTGTTGGTAGCAGCATCTTCCAACTTACTACAGGTCAGGATACCAAGCAAGGAGGGGGTTATTGGACGCCTCTGCCCAACCCCTGACTGCTGAGTGCTTCCTGCTTTTAATGTTAACGAGGTATGCACTCAGACACAAGCAGCAGTACATTGCCACCATGCATGTCAACACTGTATCAACTTTGTGAGGAAAGCTGGAACACTCACATTGGAATCATGGTGAGAGGACCTGAGAATGAGTGATGCTCAAACTGGGCAGAATGGCTCATGCCTGTTACCCCAGCTACATTTTTAAAAATATTTTCAGCATTGGGGACCATCCTCGGGGTCTGCGCATGTCAGCTCTATGACTATAGCTTGGGTGCTCGGCGATGGCCCTGGCTGACCTCATGTAGCCCTCATGATCCTCCTGCCTAAACCACCAAGTTAGCAGCATCTGGCCCTAAAGTAACATTTCTCAGAAAGTATTATACTCATGTCAGATGTGGGGCCCACACCAGTAACCCAGAAGTTACATGGACTCACATGGAAACTGGAAAAGATTTATAACTGAACAATAATTGAAATTTATGGACTGTGACTAAAGAACTGCTTAGAGATAAGATTATAATTGACTTATTATTAATATTAAGACCAAATGTTAGTAAGCTAAAATCCCTGAAATCAGAAAGAGAGAGAGAGAGAGAGAAATATATAGTAGTACATGAGTGAACTAGAAAACAACAATACAGTGGAGAGGTCCATTAACCTAAGTTAGTACTGCAAAAATATTTTTGAAAACTTGATGACTATGACCGCCTGTCAAAACATAATGTTAGGAATTGTCAGAGGATTCAGAGCACTTCCATAAGCCTGACACCTGTACATGCCCAGGCAGGAGGTCCACACCCATGGCCAGGCCTTCCAGTCCACTCACCGCCAGCAGAAGACACACTTGTTTGCACAGGCCAGGCTAGGGGTGAGCTCCATGCAGCGGTGACTCTCAATGCCATAGAACGTGTGTTTATAACAACCACCTCTCCCTCGAAGCATCGCCTGATAGGAAATACCAAATCACAATGCAAATAAGATCATCAGGGTTCAAAATCAAAGCAGCAAAAGCGTCGACACTATAGAATCGACACCATCGCCATATGGCCAAACAGACCCCTGGTGTTTACATGGTGCACAAACTCAATATCTTAGCATTACAGAATTTCCATACTGCTTTGGGTTTTCTAAAACCAGTGGAATAAACCTATGAGTATCTCCAAAAGTGCTATGGGGAGAAACACTAATACATCCACATACAAATCCATGGAAATACATCAAATAATATTTCAAACATACACAGTGCCAGGAGTGAGATAAGATAAGCTCCTGAACAGTAAGAGCAGTACTCATATACTTTGAGGAAGAGAAGCGGGGAGGGAACGCATCCTGGAGTAAGTTCATCCTCTATCCACTCAATGAGTAGACAACTTCAGGACACACAGAACATATATACAAGACACAGATAATCCTGAAGGAATATTATTTAATGTGCAGATCAAACCATGTGGTTTGATCATACGAGTGATAAAACCACTTACATCAGTTAAGAATAGCAAGAAGGTGGGCTGGGAATATGGCTTAGTGGTAGAGAGCATGCATGAAGCCCTGGGTTCGATTCCTCAGTAGCACATAAACACAAAAAGCCAGAAGTAGCACTGTGGCTCAAGTAGTAGAGTGCTAGCCTTGAGCCAAAGAAGCTAAGGACAGTGGCCAGGCCCTGAGTTTAAGCCCCAGGACCAGCAAAAAAAAAAAAGAAGAAGAAGAAGGTGATTTGAAGAAATATCTCAGATCAAACTCAGGGCTAGAATCAAGACAATATTAACCTTTTTAAAGTATCATCAGAATGATTCATTGAAAACTCTATAAAAATGTGCTCCATTTGGGCAAAAGCAGAAGCAGGTAAGCCTATGAAGAGGCCTTGGAAGGGGTGAAGATGACTGGCTGTGAGCTCAGTTGGTGGAGGGATGAGGAAGGCACTACGGAGATGGAGACAGCAAGAATCGGGAAGGGGGAGGTTGAAGGGCACTATACAGGCAGAGGCCACGCAACTCCTCCTGAGGGAGGAGCAGGTCAGATAAAATAGTTGAGACTGTGGCCAGGTGACTGAAAGGAATGGAAGTAACAGCAGTTAGAGCAAGCAAAAAGAGTGAAAAACACAGATGAGGAAGGGAGAGGGGAACCCACCCATAGAAGACTACAACTGGCGCTATTCACTTGAAATTTTAAGAAAGAAAAACTAAATAACACCAGTAGCCATCAGAACAATAGCTCCCATGGAGAGGCACTGACTAGAACGGGCACAGGGAAATTCTCTGCGGGGAGGAAAGTAACTTAATCCTTCACTGGGTGGCACATGTGGGTTCTCTATCCATCCCAAGTGACTGAACTCATGTACAAAAAATTATCCAGAACTCTATATATTTTATTAAATGTAAATTCAATCTTTAAATAATAGACGTATTGTCTACATGTAGTAGCCATATAAAAGCTGCATATAGCCAGGTGCCAGTGGCTCACACCTATAATCCTAGCTACTCAGGAGGCTGAGATCTGAGAATCTAGGTTTAAAGCCAGCACGGACAGGAAAGTCCATGAGACTCTTACCTCCAATTAACCACTAGAAAACCAGAAGTGGAGGTGGCTCAAGTAGTAGAACAACAGCCTTGAGCAGAAAAGCTCAGAGACAGTACCCAGCCTGAGTTCAAGTCCTAGAAATGGCGCGCACACACACACACACACACAAAGCTGTATTTAATAGAAATAAAATTTGAATACAAATAGGTAAATACCTTTGTCCATCTGCACAGCTTCACCCCAGAGTGGCTCCCAATCAGCTGATAACCTGAATGGAAAAACACAAAACACAGAATTGAACCAATCCAGAGGATCCTAGCAGGACAAGATACGGAAACACGACAAAATCATTTCTTTGCTTAAATCTGGCAGTCAATAGGGTTGACAGAAAAACCAAAGGTTTGATTTACAAGGATGAGAAAACAATTTTAATGTGTTTATGTATCAGACAGCAGAGACTCAAGAAGAACCATAATCCAACCCAAAGTCACATGGGGACCTAACTTAAGCTCAGAAGGCAAACACAGCTCAGAAAAGTCTGAGTAACACAGAGAACATACCTGACCAACAACCACATGGTCCACAGTACACAGTGCACAGTCTCCTCAAGAACCCATGGATTTATGAAAACAGACCCTATACCAAACCACAGAGCAAGTACTGATACATTTCAAATTAATGACCAGGAAACTATCCTAGAAATCTTTAGGGGAAAAGAAATGAAGAATCAAACAGGCAACAGGAGACTAAAAGCAATATTGACTCAAAGGAGAAGTTGAATTCTAGGAACTGCAACCTGACATGAATTCTCCAAATCACCTGATCACAACAGATCCCCTGAAGATTCTGAGCTACATACATGAACAAAACAGCAAAGCCTCATACTTTCTTGTTAAACAGCTGGAAGAACGAACAAATAGAACACTGTGATTCCAGAAAACATAAGGCCTCAGATAACAGCCGCAGTGCTGAGCACATGTGCATTCAAGGTGTGATTATGGAGCACTATCCATGTACCACAAGCCTCCATGGAAACACTTTTATCCTTTCCCAAGCTCATGAAAACATCTTAAATACAAATCAACAAATCAGCTGGGCACCAGTGGTTCACATTTGAAACCCTAGCTACTCAGGAAGCTGAGATTTAAGGATCACAGTTTGAAGACAGCCTGGATAGAAAGGTCAGTGAGACTCTTACCTCCACTAAACTACCAAATAAGCTGCAAGCAGAGCTGTGGCTCAAGTGGGAAAGCACTAGTCTTAAACAAAATCAGTGTCCAGGCTCAAAGGTCAAGCATCAGGAGTAGCATGTGCATGCATGCGCGCTCACACACACACACACACACACACACACACATCAACAAATCACTTGAAGACAGAACTGAGTCCACCTGAGTAAACACCCTCTGATACAACCCTTTGAAACAACCTCCAGAGAAACCTCTAGGTCTCCTCTTGGTTTCTTCACTATACTGTTGAACTGCCAACACAAAATATGGCACATGTGTTCCTTCTCTGTCCCTCATGATATGCATGAGGCACATTCTGCTATGTTCCTTCTCTCAATCTCTCTCAGCTCTAAAAATTTTGTACTGAGCTATAGAAATCAATGCACAGCACAAACAGAGATCAGAGCTCTGAGCTGACCAAATGTCACGGAAACCCAACAGTAACCAATGGTGAAAATCCTGGCATTGAATTTCAGCCAGGACAGAACAGGTTTTACTCTTCCACTAAACACCAAAAAATGTGTGTGTGTGTGTGTGTGTGTGTGTGTGTGTGTGTGTGTGTGTTTGTATTTTCAGGAGCCAAGACATCAGCAACAGAGGACAGTCCCCAGAGATCATAGGCAGGGCAGCAGGAAGGGGCAGCCCAAGCAAAGCCAATGGACTTGCAGAGCTGAGAAAAAAGAGCTGAGAGCTGGGAGAGACAAAGGTGGCTACAGAGAGCATAGCCACACAGAGAGACTCAAAAGCCTGCAGAGGATGAGTACCAGTTATAGCACGGGTGAGGGAACAGCTACCGAGGATGGGAAAGACCCGTGGTGTGTCCCGCTCTCACAGAATGGGGAATTGTACCTATTTACCAATTGAAACCTCAAGTCACACAGGCTTTGGGTAGAATGCACAGGACCCAATAGTGACCTGAAACTGATCTCACCTAACAGGTCATAAAAATGCATCTCAAAGCTCCGACTATGTCCAATTAACCTACATTTGTCCCAGAAAAATAAAGCTCAATGTGTATAACAGCATTTATATGAGGCTATCTAGCAACTAGTAAGGTAAAATTAGGTCTGGCATCCAATTATGAGTATGTAGGAAAACATGAATATGGAAAATAATCCACCAGCAAAGCTGACCCAGAAATGAAAAGACATGCACACATGAGGGCATAACATGGAAGGCTATCTCATGGCTGAAGCAGCCAAGGGACAGAAGACTTATAAACCCAACCTGAGCTTCAAGAGAGGAAAACCACAGTATGAAAGAATAGAAAACACACAGGAAAAGATTAACAGGATAAATGAAGACACATAAGAAAAAACTAGCCAGGCGCCGGTGGCTCATGTCTGTAATCCAAACTACACAGGAAGCTGAGATGTGAGGATTACGGTTCAAACTAACCACCAGAAAACCAGAAGTGGCGCTGTGGCTCAAGTGGTAGAATGGTCTCCTTGAGCTGAAGAGCTCGGGGCAGCACCCAGACCCAGAGTTCAAGCCCTCCAACCAATCAAAACAAAAAGAAAAAGAAAAAAGGAAAAAAACGATCAAGCCTGAAGACAGAAATGATCTAAAATGAAAAGACAAAGAAGAAAAAAAGAATTAAAAAAAAAATCAGTAAGCTGTGGGTTGAACTCAGCCCATTACACATATTGCTGCACTTCCCAAGGGAGGGGCAGGGGAGGAAAAACTTTAGAAGAAGTCAGGTGCTGGTGGCTTATGCCTGTAATCCTACTAAAGAGGCTGAGATCTGAGGATCATAGTTCAAAGCCAGCCCTGGCAGGAAAGTCCATGAGACTCTTATCTCCAATTAACCACCAACAAGCTGGAAATGGAGCTGTGGATCATGTGGTAAAGTGCTAACCTTGAGCAACAAAGCTCAAATATGGTACCCAGGCCCTGAGTTCCAGTGCTAACATAAAAAAAAATTACTGGTTAAGGATACAGATGGACCTGTTGCAACAATGAGAAGTACAAGTTGTCATGTC